TGTGTGTGTGTGTGTGTCTGACAGAGGTTTATAGTAACTGAGTACATTTATTTATTTATGGTACTTAAGTAATTTTTTTTAAGATTTGTAATTTTACCAAGTACTTTTTAAATGTTTTTTTTCAGTATTTATTGTGTGTTCACCTTGTTTCCTGCAGAGCTGATGCAGAGCTGCGAGCTGTAGGACTCCAGCTCTTTGTGCACCAGGTTGTGAGCTGCGATCTGCTTCTCCAGGTCGGCCATGGTGGGGCCGAATTCCTCAGTGTTCAGGTCTTTCTGTGAGCACAGACAGCAGGGGGGGCGGGGTCTCGTTAATGAATAATTGGTACAACCATGTGCGATGAAGAAGCCTCTAAACTCACCTGCTTCTGGCTGAAGACGGGCCCCCAGTCGATTCTGGGCATCAGCTGCACGTCGTCGATCTGCTCGTAGATGTCCCTGTAGACGCCGCAGTCCTTCAGCCAGCGCTCGTGGAGGATCATGACACTGAAAATCAAAGACAGTTTAAAGAAACCTGTTTAAATTCTTCACTTTCAAGTCTTCACCCTGTTTTCCATGCACTCACTCGCTCTCGATCTCACTGGCCTGTGGGTGTTTGTGCTTCTTGACTTTGTCCACGTCCAGGAAGAGGTCCTTCAGGAGCTCCTCGGCCTCACCCAGTTTAACTTTGATCTCATCCTGATGCTTAAAGGGCTGCTCCTTCTTTTCGTTTTCGTAGTCCTGGTGGAAGCAGACAGCAGGTGAGCTGAGGATTTCATCATATGAGAGATAAAAACACATTGTCGCTGTTTGTTCTCACCACAGCCAGCAAATCTTCGGACCGGAGGACGTCTTTCTCCACCGTGTCGGCATTCTTTTGAATCCGAGCGATCAGCTGGGCCAAGTCGCCAGCCTGAGACCTGCAAAGAGAGGAGATTACAAGATGAGCCAAGACCAGGATTCAGGACTGCTCCAGGTTTCAGAAAGGTTCTCCATGACATCAACCCTCTGCATCTCTTCCCTGACAGCTCCATATTCACATCCTTCACTGTCTCTCCTCTACTCATGTCCAAACTGCTCAGCTTGAACTGTCCACCTCTCTGRACTCTCTTCCACCTGCTCCCTGTCTTCACTGTAGATCACATCGTCTGTAAACACCACAGTCTATTAGAGCTCCTGACCCACCCATCACCGTTATAAACAAGAAAAMGCTCTAAAATTTGCATATTTATAAGCAAACTTCATCATCAACAGCTTTCCATACGAGACAAAGCCACTGATGATGATGATGAGGAGGAGTTCCTGAAGCGGTTCAGGTTCGGTCAGTCTACCTGTTCATCAGGATCAGACTGTTAACCCGACAGGGATGGGATGGAATCAGGGCGAGGATGTTTTCGGAGCCACGCCTGAGACGTTTCTCACATTTCACCTGCAGGTCGTTGGTCAGTCCTTCCTCTGACGCCTGAACACAGACTTATTGGTACCAAAACGGCTTTTCCTTCAAATAACTCATCTCTATGAATTAAATCGTAGAGTTTGCAAACAGAAATTAGATTATAGTGAAAAAATGTGCGGTTTCTGTTTCTCCAGAAAATATCCAAAACGATGTACCGAGTATCATTCTTCGTGATGATGCAGCATCATTTATGCTGATGATTACTCRTTAGTGCAAACATGAAGACAATAAATATCCTGCACATCATCCTAACCCTGGTTTTATTTAACCTTAGAACTCCATCTCCTCCTGTCCRTCATAACATCAGTCAATTTTGTGTGGAGCAGCAACAAACTGTAAATTCAGAGTTGTAAAGTAACTAAGTACAAATATTTTGTTACTGTACTTAAGTAGAAATTTTGGTTTTCTGTATTTTACTTGAGTAATTATTTTTTCAGTCTACGTTTTACTTCTACTCCTTTCATTTCTACATGTTTATTTTTACTTTCTAGTCCTTACATTTAAAAAAAATTGAAGTAGAAAGTCATCACTCCTAATACTATCCTGATAAACTGCACCTCCTGGATAGAGTGAATTTTTACTCAGTACTTTTACTTTTAATGCTTAAGTACATTTTATGTCAGAATTTTAATTTTGATACTTAAGTACAAAATATGTGAATTAGATACGTTAAGACTTTTACTCAAGTAATATTCTTTGAGGAGGCTAATTTTATGGTAAGGTACTTGTACTTTTACTCAAGAATCACTTCGAGGTACTTTATACAACACTGTGTAAATTCTAATAATTTATCAGAAAATACTGAAAAACAAGAGAAATGTGGTTTAGTGAGAAAATGCAGAGTTTTTAAGTGGTTTTGAGGGAGTTAAAACTCGGCCTGAGTGGTTTTCGTTGCAGAGAATGAGTCACACTGAGCTGGTTGTTCCTGCTCACTCAGCAGGAGAGGCAGGTCGGGTCAGAACCAGCACATCCATCTCTGCTCTCCTCCACTAACCAGTCCAACCATTTAAGCATTTAATCACCACAAACTGTTTTAAGGAGATTAATAAAAGAAAAAAATGTGTGAGCTGAAAAGATTTGACTATTTTGTTTAAATAAATTACCAAATTAATGGTTTGTTTTAATTTATCTGTCATGGCTCTTTGTGAGATTCAGTTTTTGTTGTTTTCATCTTATTTTGTTGCATTTTTCCCTCAGTTTGACTGGACGAGCAGCTGAGTCACACCCTCACACGTCTCCGATACAGTCAGTATTTGGAAAGTTTTGTTGCAAACTAAAAGTGAAAATGTAGATTTCGCTCTTAYGATTTTTAAGAAGAAACTATCCAAAACTATGTGAAACAATGAGAAACTTGATGAAACGATGACAGATTTGCCTCGTAAAGCAGGATAACTGGACGTGCCACATAACTGAGCAGGGCTGGTCTGCTTTTCTTCAGCCGGGATCAGAGAAGCGTGTAACGCCAACATTCCCYGACCTCACAGAGCGCTCACTTTCCCTCCCCAGCTCAGGTCAAACACTTCATGAGGAGGCTCAGGGTGAGAAAACAAAAATAATAATATGCATGTTTCCTCTGTTAGCAAAATGTTTTCCTGAAACCAGTTCTGTCAACTTTAAAAATATCACTGCATCACACAGTGGTGAGGTAACAGTTAGTACCAAACACATACACACCTGAAGCCTTCTCAGTCTTTCCAGAYATTTCCACCAGCACCTTCACTAATACCTGCTTACTCTTTACAGTAACCTTTGCTGGAGTCTCTGTACCAGAGCGCAGCTGTTTATGTTCATGAAGCATCTCGTGAGTGTGGAAGCATAAACACTGGATCAGAATAGCTCAACCATCCTCACTTAACTTCTTGTTTTCACTTTTTATTGTTGTGTTGTTTCAGGTTAATTGGGAAAACATGAAATATATGAACAAACGTGAAGACAATAGTTTAAACTTCATGACTTTTCTGACTTAACGAAGCCGTTTTGGGATGATGGGAACTACGGTGAACGGTTAACACCCACATTAAAAAAGAAAAGCGGCTGATTAGTTATGGAGGGCCCAGCCCCGATCACGTCGCAGCACCTGCAGGACAGAAGGAAGGTGAAGCTGACTCAAGTCATATCAGCGACCATTCAAAGGATGGGAACTACAGGTCCACATCAGTGGAAACCCTCATGATACTGTATCTCCCTAATGGCAAAAGGAGGAAGTACTTTAAATAACTCGGATTAAAAAACACTTTCTTTCTACTGCTTCAGATTACATCAGTGACAAATTATGAAGTGTAAAAATTCATATAAAATAGTGATGATTTGTACTGATAAATCAGAGATTTACAAAGCAATTCTATTCATTCAAAGAAATTCTTCTGCATAAATTGGTGCAATTATGTAACTTTTTCTGAAACATGTTATAATTTAACATGTGCCGAGCCTGAGCTCATGATCTCAGGGAGCATTCTCCTTCCCAGAGGATTAACTCTGACAGTGAAGTCGGGGAAGACCTTTCCCTCAGCCTCCTTGTTCTAATGGAACAGAGACAAAAAGGCCAGCAGCACACTCAGGAAACACGACACTGTGGAAAACACACACAAGCCCTGCATGCTCAAAGTCACAATGTACAATAAGTAAAAACTCACTTGGTGAGCTTGCTGGAGCTCTTCTGTGCGTCCTTTTTCTTGAACATCTTGGGAGGATGTCAGGCAGAGAAAAGCCTCGCTCCTTCTTCGTCTCGGTCTTCCTCGCCCTGTGGCTCCCGCTGTGTGTCTCCTGATAACTCACGCACACAGTAAGACACACACTCAGGCCAGCGCACACAGGTGGCTCCACCCAGGCAGGTGTGCCGACGCCCAGACATCCACCTTGTAGAGACCAGACTGACCTGTTCTCCAAGATCTTCCTTCCGGCCTCCCTCCTCCTCCTCCTCCTCCTCTTCTCTTTGCTCCTCTTCATCGGGGCCCCTCAGATCAGATCAGTTATCTGCATGCATGGAGCTGATGGAGTTCTGCAGAAGCTTTTATTTGTGCAAAGATGCATCTGAGTCGTTTAGAAGCTTTGCTGTGAACATCCATGCTGCAGCTCTCTGCACGCTGCAAACACAGACACTGTGTGTGTGTACAGTCAACAATGGAACACCCACATGCTCAGACAGGAAGTCTGTTTCATAATAATCCCTGCCATAGGAGCTACAGGTCAGGAGGTCAACTCCATGTGAAGTCCTGTAAGTGTGGGATCCATGGCACAGACGTGTAAAGCACCAGGAGCAGGGCGTCTCTCTCTCTCTGTGAAGCGTTCCAACAAAAGGGATTCATGGCGAGGAATGCAGCCGGATAGCTTTCTGTGCATCACAGAGGAGAGGGAGCACATATTTTACCTCGGTCCAGTCACAAAGACACAAGTCTCTGGGTGTGTTTAACTGTGGAACAACAGATACCTTCATTGTTGTTATGATACTCCATACGCTGCAGTTACTCCCAAAACTGCTGAGTCTCCATCAAAAATAGTTTTTTTAATGATTCCTGCTGTTTGGACATTTGCTGACCATGAACCCGGTCGTTTTTGTTTTCATTATTGCCATTTGTAATGTTTTTGCTCATTAATTTGTGCGTGTTAGCAAAATATCTCATGACCGAATGACTGGATTTTTTTATGAAACTTTCACAAAAAAAAAAATCATTGACTGAACTTTAACTAAACCTTTTGGAGTCAATTCAGTTCAGGAATGTTCACTACARCTAGGTAAAATGTTTATATAGCAGTTCATATTTTACAGATATACGTTTATATCTGTAAAATATAAATGTTATACCTGATATAACTCTGAGCACAGATTTCACATGAGGTCAATAAGGTTTGACTAAAACAGCTGTAACTCCATCCTTTCTCATCAGGAGATGATTTCAGGTAAAAACTCTGGGTTGAATGTTTGCTGTTTGTTTTCCAGTCAGTTGTAACACTCAAACACACATGCGCACACACACACACCAAAAAAAATTAGTTGAAGAAAGTCTGTTTAGTTAAATAAATATGCAAAGGTGTGCCCTTGAAATACCTGTTTTTTCAGAAATGTTGTAGATGAAGGTCGCTCCTCTTCACCAGCCTGAGCCTATATAGATCAGTGGTTCCCAAACTTTTTTTCTTAAAATATCAGCAGCAGAAACCTGGCTGAGCCCCCAACTGTTGTTGGATCATAAACATTGTTTTCATGTCAAAAAAACAAGATCATAGCAACAATATTCATTATGCTATTTTTGTCCATTTTAAGTACACTAACCTTACTCTTTTGTAACAACAAAGGCAAACAAAAGTTGTTTTATTTTCTTATATAATTCATTCAGAAAATCTTTTCAGGACCCCACCTTGATGTTTTGGGACCCCATTGGGTCCCRACCCCAACTTTGAGAACCACTGCTGGATCACGTGTGTCAAACTCAAGGCCCGAGGACCAAATCTGACTGTCGTTGATGTATTCCCCGAGCCCCAAAGGTAATGCTTTAAATATAAAATGGCTTTATCATTTAGTGCAGATCGTTCTCAACATTAGTCAGCTTAAATTCTGYATTCTGTTATTTAAAGTCAAATTACTGGATTTTTTTTTACTGATTTGCAAGATTGTAATGAGACATATCTAAGAAATAATAAATGGAATAGTTGTGAATAGAGTAAATCCTAATGATGTGTATTTCTAAAGTTAACATTTTGTTTTCATCCATTAGGTTATAGGTTCTAAAAACCACATAAAATATATTTTTGAAAGTGCAATTTGTATTTCTACAAGGATAATTTGTTAAATAACATTTAAAACCTATTAGATCAATAAATATGGACAGATTGGCMCCCTCATGTAACTGAGCTTGACTTTCTGCTTGATGAAGCAACAACGTGATGCTTCTGACACCTACCAGAGGTTTGAAATAAAGAAATAATTATCTCCCAACCGGTGGCGGGCAGCGCTAATCTAAAAATTAGTTCCACTAACCCTAAAACACTAACTCGGATATTTGGGTCCCCTAATTCTAAAGCACTAATAYACTGAAGGTTTTAGCAAAAACTAATTCTAAAGCACTAAAATAACCCAGTCAACCCATGAACATTAGACGACATGAGTCACATGTTGCCATGTTGCTCTCTTAAGACTTATCATTGACATCCCACGGCTGTATTTGGGTTCATATATTGTCACCTGGTGGATAAGTGACACACATGAACAAAATGTGTGACAGCTTTCACCCGCCTGATCAATAACATTTATRGACCTCAGTTAGTGYTTTTAAATTTAGCCTATAAATTTAGCAAGTGCTAATCCACTAATAAATTTTAAAATKAGCAAAAACTGTGCCCACTACTGCTCCCAACATACTTTATCTCTGAAGGTTTAGTGCAACATTWGATCAGATCCTATTTCTTTCAGAGGGAAGTGGGAATTTCCCACTTATAAATCGTAAATTTATCTGGAACACCCCTCTGGTGGGAAAGTTTAGAATTCAAGATGGCAGCTATTCACAAGTCATTAATTTTTACTTTTAATAGTATTTCTGTTTTATTTATTTATTACATGTAGTCAATTGTACACGTAGTACTTTTCAGTTTAAAAGGAAACTGGATAAAACACTATTTCTATGCAGGAAATACCACACAGAGCTCAGTTATTGTTWGCAGGGCTGTCTTACCAACAASAGGAACRTGACATTTTAGTTTAAGTTAATTACAACCGACCCTTTGAAGGTCACATTAATACTCGTGAATTTTTCCAGCGTTGACTTTTATTTGTAGCTCAGATGAACTGAGGGTATAAAACCTCAGGGATTCATAAACGTCACCTGTGTCAGCAACAGGTGTCAAAACTGCAGAGRGAATAAAATACGTAGAAACTAAAAGGTGTTGGCCTGTATGTGTGCAGCTTGGAGATCACCTGACAGGTTTAATTCTACAAACTCAGCCCGGGACAATTTGTGTCCAAGATTTATGGAAACGTGTCAACGTACAGGAGAAAAAATAAACTGAGAATGTTTGCTCCTCCTGTGATTGAAACCCAACATGTGAATAACACAACGAATTATTTGTAACAGCGTGGCAATTATCTAACTAAAGCAGAATCCTCTTCAGTCCACTCAGCTGGACTCGAGATGTGACAAACTTGACTGTCATCAGTCAGCCATCACAGTGGGTTAAAACGAAGACTTGTGTAACACTTAAAAATGCAAGTACAAAAAGTAAACCAAAAYACGCATGCACACCCTGCTCAGGTATCCTACGCACTCCCATTCACACACCCCTAACAGGGACACACACACCTGCCATGAAAGAAACGAGCTTCCTACAACCTGAGAAACTGTAAACCAATTTATAAATACCAGACACATTTACGTAAATAAAATGAATGAAGGAGGACGAGTTGGTGCAAATGTTTATTAATGACAAACCTGGAGACTAAATGATCGTACACTCCTAGCTTCATGTCCAGAAATTGATTTTTCCCCCTCCAGAACAATTACAGACACTAACAYTGTTTCAGAATAACAGAACATCCATCTTGATTCTTTAACAGATGCATTATAAAGAAACAAACAAGTCAAATAAAATGAAACAGTTTCAGCTGCGTTAAACTGGTCCATCAGTAATGAACAGAAATGAGAACCGGTGTGAAAATACAACAAGTCATTTGTAACAATGCAGTTTCCACAAACTTTTCATTTGTAAAAAACATTTTCCTTCCTCTKAGCGTACGAACAGGCGTGGCGGTGCGATGAATGAAAAGCTGCTCAGAGCTCAACGGTTCAAGTCCGCTGCTGATTTCTGCAGCTAAAACCCAAACAGAAGCTGAGAACATGAGATAAAATGACAAAGATGAATCAGTTCCTTCAGTGTGAGGGAACCCCGTCTGATGGGACAGTAAACGTCAAATAAACATATGCAAACAAACAAACATGGCAGTTAATTAGATTTCCAACTAAAACTTAATGATCTTGCAAAATAATTAAAAAGGAAACCAAAACTCACCGAGATAACTCGCTTTTGACTTTATTTTGTCACGTTTCCCTGCTTCCCTTGACTTTCAGGCTTCAGAAACACAACTGGATTCTGAGATTACTGAGTAGATGTGATGACCTGTGAAATCTGAGAGGTTGATTTCTGTGTGCTTGCTCATCGCTACTTAAAAATTATTAAATTTATTTTTCTATAATCTTTTCTCAGACCTCCAATTCAACTCAGACTCGTCCGATCAGGCACTACAAATGATAAGTGGAGCTCCAGCTGACAAATGGACCGAGTGTGAGGGGGCGCAGGCGTGGTTTCTCTGGAGCGACTCGTCTTCGGSTTTAGCTGCCGAAGCCGAAGATGCCTTTGATGTAGCCGGTCAGGCCGCCCTTGCCCTTCTGCTCCACCTTGTCGTCCAGCGGCGGGAAGGTGGCGTGGTTCAGGGCCAGGTCGAAGAACAGAGGCTTGCAGGGGATGGGCTGGAAGTCGGGGGGGAACTGGACCAGGTTGGGCTGCTTTCCCACGAGGGCGGTGTCCAGACGGAAGGTGTCCAGGTGGTCGCACAGAGGCTGGGGAGCAGCAAAGACAACGTTTGTGAAAACGGAGGAGAAACCAGCAAGAAGAAAAAGTCGGGAATTTGTCCCTTTTTGTGTCAACGTCAGTATCTCTGTTAGTCCAGATTAAATCTGGTTCAATCTAATCTGCTGAGAATCTTTTAGTAAGAATGAAGAGCAGCAGTGTTCACGCTCCGGGTGTGTCCCCTCGGTTCTTACCGTGTTGTCTTTCACCTGCTGCTGAGAGGAAACTTCAGGAGGCTCATCAGTGTCTGAAACATAAACGAGTTCATCAGGAGTGGACTCGAAGCTGAGCAGAATTAAATTCATGTCTGGACAATAAAACCAAACGTCTAAGCAGACACACGCATTCTCACCTAAAATGGCAGCGGCTTGAAGCGAGTATTTCTCAGCATTGACCTCAGCAATGAGCTCCTGGACGTCAGGGAGGTCCTGCACCACATCAACCACGTGTTTTAAACTTGAACATAAAACTGTGCGACTGTGAGCTCACGGTTTGTACCAACCTTGAGGCTGTTGTTAAGACTCTTTGCTTTGGACTGSACCTCCTTAGCGTACTTCAGCACCCTCTCATACAACACCAGCGCCTCGCTCCACTTCTTCACCAGAACATAAGACTGAGCTATAAAGAAACACCTGAGAACAGAGGACAACACTGTTATTACCCAGGGTTCCTATAGTTTAAGGCAAGTTAAATTTAAGACTTTTTAATGCCAAGTGAAATTAAATTCAAGACCAATTTCATAATAAACACAAATAACAAAATAAAAAACCTGTCAGAAATTCATGAATCAAAGTATTTTTGATTGAAGTATTCAAATATTDCTAATAGACCAATTGTTTTTATCCATATCTAACTATAGCAGAAACATTCTTAGCAGTCAGTTGTTAAACTTAATTTAATTTCTGGAAATCCTCTAATGACCCAAAATTCGAAGTTTTATGATCCCAATTTGCTGTAGATGAAACCTTAAAGTGCCTGTGACATCAAAATTTGTAAGAAAAGTGAATACATTTTTGGAAAGACGACATTAACATATTACAAAACAAATTTCACATTGCTCAGATGAACAGTTGAGATATTTTCAGGAAGTGATGTCATTTATTAAAAAATAAATGTTACCAATTATTTTAATATTTGAGATGAATTACAATCATCCTATTCACAATGAGTTAACATTAAGACTTCTGAAAGAYTGATTTAAGACATTTTAAGGCCAATTAAGGCCTTAAATTTGAATTGATGAATTCAATGACTTAAGATTTTTAAAGGATCTGCAGGAACCCTGTTAGTAATWATAGGAACAGCAAATAGAACAATTAAAAAGAAAGCAAAAGAATGGAGAGTATCTGTTTTTAGACTATTTRGTGATTAAAGCTGAGATAATTGTAGACTCATGAATGCAAATCAAAAAGAAAGTGGCAAAGCTGACCTGTAGGCCTTGTAGACCAGAGTCTTGAGGGACACCTCCTTCTGGAAGGTGTGGTCATCCTCCAGCCCCTGCAGAGTGGAGAGCTCAGCCAGACTCTGAGGAGGAGAAAACAAACGTTTAGATYACAGTAAATCATAGATGTGGATAACAAAATAATATGCACGGCTTAGAATACAGTTTTACAAGACGTGCATGCAAAAATAAGTCTGATTTTTTTATTTAAACTGGCCAAATATACAGATTATATTTCCTGTCCAGACGTGTACCTGCAGGATGATGTCGTAGAGTCGAATGAGATCCTGCGGACGCGGCCCCCTCTTGTTCTCRTCCACCTCGGTCTCCTTCAGTTTGGCCTGCAGAGTGTGAGCCATGCTTTCGTTTCTCTTCACCAGCGTGCACAGCTTGATGTAGGTCAGGTAACTGAGACAGAAGAGCAGCRCAGAYCAGAGGAAACAAGKAGAAATAYAGTAAAAATTACAAACTCACACATTCATGTTGTTGGGCTGAGATCTGACCACAACTCATGTTGACTGAAGCATTTCTTACCTGTGCAGGTACTGCAGGTTGGACACCTTCCCACCGTCGTTATCAGAGCTCCGGTCTCGCWGTTTCTGTAAACACAAACAAATATCAGTTTATAAACTTTCACAACTCGTCYCTGAGCTAAACGCCTGAATCTTACCGCCTCATTCTTCAGCTCCTCTCTCACAGCCTGGATGGTGTCTCTGCACTCGGCCAGCAGAGTCTCGTACAGATGCTCTTTGGTTTCCTCATTAGCTGCCTGCACAACAAACACCAGTTTATTAT